GTGGTGGGCCCACGCCGGGCTGCGGTGTCCGTGTGGGGAGTGACTCCCGTTACATCCACCAATCCCATAGCTGCTGTATCGCAGCAGAAGTCGATCCGCAGCCGGACAGCGTGTGGCTCGGGGTGGGTGTGAGAGGGGCCTGAGTGCTGGGCGGAGGGTGGGGATGTGGGGTGAAGACTGGCTGGGCGTGTGGGCTCTGGAGTGGGGCTGGGCAGGAGAGTTTCAGGGCGCAGGCTTCTCACCGCAGCGGCCTGAGTCCAGGCGAGAGGTGTCTCTCCACGGCTGTTGCAGCTCCAGCTGGCACAGCGAGGGCAGGGACACCTGTCCCCTAAATGGGGCAGTTCCAGGCTCTGGGTTGGGATCTGGGAAGGGACACCTGATTCCCCAACAGAGTGGGATGGACACTGTTGCCAAGGGAGTGGTGTGCCTTTCAGGCCCCAAAATAGAACTGCCGTGGTCAGGGGAGCTGGACCCCTCCTTGCAGGCTCTGGCATAGAGCTGCCTTGGTATCTCTTCTGCAGAAGCTCTGTGTTAGAACTGGTGAGGATAGGGGCTTTTGTCCTAGCTACTCCAGGATTGTGCTGGGGCCAGCAGGCAGAGGCAGCACTCTGTGGGCTGGCCCTGAGCCTCTCCACAAGGCTTCGTAGGCAGCTGCATGGCCATCTGGCTACACAACATAAAGGGAAACTTAGCTAGTCTGGGGTGGCGGTAGGGGAGCCAGGGCTGGCCAGTGCTATGGGATGAGAGGTGGGAGTTGCAACTTGGAAGAGGGGGGGCTGGGACTGGCCTGTGCCAAGGGTTGAGGTGTCTGCTGAGGACCATCCTAGCCTCTGTTATAATGAGGCTGAGGAAATTGAGAAGGTGTGACTAGGTGTAGAGGCTGTGGGTTGGCAACTGCAGTCCATTAAATTAAATTATACTCTGGACATATGACTTAGGTTGTAATATTATTGTTCCCTTGTTTTGTTTCCGTGGTATGAAAGAGACAAATTTAGTGAGACTATGCCATCTGCTACCTATTAAGGTCACTTTTAAGCCAGCTCCACGCACATGCCAGCTCCCAAGGATCTGTCTGATCCTCCCACTACTGCCTCCCGCAGAGGTGAAGGTGGGGAAGGGAGCCAGTGCTCACAGGGATCCAGCTTAAAAGTTGGCTCCCCCCGCGTACTGGCTCCTGCCTGCCCCCTCCCCACCCTGTGCTGCTGCCTCTGTATTAGAGGCAGCAGTACAGGGGGGCAGACGACTCTTCGAGAGCTGGTGCTTGCAGTAAGCCAGCTTAAAAGCCAGCTCTGCACACACACCGACTCCCATCTCCCATCCCTCCCCCTCCACTGCCTCTGATAGAGACAGCGGAGGTGGGGGGGAAAGGGTGTAACTGTGGGCTAACCAGTGAGCCCAGGCATATTGGTAAACAGTGTACTTGAGTACACATCGACATCCTTAGCAGGATCGTTGCTAGCAGATCAAGAAGTGATTATTCCCCTCCGTTTGGCACTGGGGAGGCCACATCTGGAGTTCTGTATCCTGTTCTCTCACATGCACACACACGATACAGAAAAGATGTGGACAAATTGTAGAGAGTCCAGGGAAGGGTAACAAAAATGATTAGGAGGCTAGGGCACGTGACTTATGAGGAGAAGTGGAGGGACCTGAGTTTATTTAGACTGCAGAAGAGAAGAATGAGGGGAAATTTGATAGCCTTCAACTACTGAAGTGGAGGAGGGTTCCAAAGAGGATGGAGACAGGCTATTAGATGAGTCCATAGAAGAAGCTCTTTGTTCTATCAAGTTGCAATGAAGGGAGGTCTAGGTTGGATGTTAGGGGAAATTACAGTAAACTTCCGATAATCCGACACCTTTAGGACCTAGGGGGTGCCGGATTATCAGATATGACAGACTATCGGAAGGGGGGGCTATGAGGGGTCTAGGGTGGTGTGGGGGGGATGCCACCCCAGACCCCTCATAGCCCTCCTTTCTGACAGTTTGGCTCTTCCCCAGGTGTCCCCGATTCAGCCGCTGTGGCAGAGCAGCTGGGGTACTGCCGGGTTGGTCCCGCAGCCCCAAGGGGCAGCGCTACGGGACCAACCAGGCAGTACCCCAGCTGCTCTGTCCCAGGTGTCCCCAAGAGCAGCTGGAGGGCTGCC